CATGGAGCCTATTCGTGGAATTAAAGACTTTGGCTCCATGGCAATTAAAACTGTATTCGTGTGGTCTGAGTGCCATTCACCTAATAATGTGCACTCAGACCTGAGCTATCTGGGGATGTGTTACATGCCTGTGTTTAATGTAGTAAATGTTACTTTGTGCATTTTAAAGTATAATGCTGTTTTGTGTTCCCACGTGTGTAATGGAGTTTTGCCTTTGACTTGGGAGATAATTGAGTTACTTCCCAATTATCTCCCAGGGCAGAGGGGAGGAAGCCAGGATGCATTGTGGGAATATACTGTGACTGTGTGTCCTTTTTGTATACTTGTCTGTCCCTTGTCACAGTCTCCCATTTGGTCCCCTAGGGGAGTGTCCACCAGGTGGGAGACCTGCATAAAAGCTGGGCAGGTAGCCCTCATTAAACAGACCACTGCTTGACCCTCAACACGGAGCCTTGTCTCGTTCTTGGGGGGATTCACTGTATGCTGTTGGAGACTGATTGCCAGGAGTGTAAGCCGCTTGGGAGCTTTTCCTGTTCGTCTGCTGGCAGCTATTCGTGAGGTTCCAGTTCGGGAGTTGGAGTGCTATTTTGTATCCAGTTTGGGAGTTTGGTGTTCTGCAGTAGCTGTGCCTGTATCTCTGGAAAGGGGGCTGATCGCCTAAACGGTTTTTACCCCTTGTGTGCAAAACGGTCCGTTACAACAAGGAAGGCCATACGGCTCAGCACAGCTCCAGTTTACACATCCTAGTGAGACTGGAGAAACTCTTCAACCTTTTCTGTATGGAGTTGGAGAATGGTGCAGCCGCACCACCGCATTTGCCCCTGGAGAATGCACAGCTACCAGAGCAGCGTGACGAGGGGAAGCCCCTTCTGGGTAAAATATCCGCTGAAGCGCTTTTTCCCTCTACCGATCGCCCTACTGGGCTGAAGGCCAAAAGGGGTATAAACCCGAAGCATCGCCCACACTGGCAGGAGAATTTCAACCACACGACTGGGTCCTCTTGCTGCTCCCGATATGGGAAGGACTTGGACTGTGGGAGCAACAACGTCCGCGGCCTACAGATGCCGGTTTCGCATTCGCCCGGGCGGGTGGGTTACCTACTCTAGGTTTCGTTATATTACGGCGACTCTCCAGTATACTCCTTATGGTTCCAAAGTTCGGGAGTCGGCTGACCAATGACTCCTCGTTTTGCCTAGACCCAATACCTGAGCATTCAATTTGTATATGCTACTTGTGAGAGCCCTAATTCACTATTGTTTGCCATGTCCTTTATAGTTTTCCCATTTTACATATAAGCTGCAGGGCTGGGGCAGGGATTACATGTTCAGTGGTTTTATTCTCTGTATTGATTAAACTTCCATGCACTTAGCAGGTTAATGCTCAGATAATACTCACTATGTCTCGCAGCATCTCTTCGACTCAATATTTTCTTCCTTTAATGCATTAAAACATATTTGACTAGCTTGATACTTTTGTTATATTACTTGAAAAAAAAATAGGCTGACTAATCTAGGAGTATTCTGAATTGTGCCTATAATGCCCGATGTTCCTTGTATAATATGCTTAACCCCTTTTACTCTGTACTGTACTATTCATACACCTCGATAAAACAATGATTTAAAAAAAAATAAAAAAGGATGCCTTTTTAACTAACGAATGGAAAGTTATTTAGTTTGCTCCTAGCTGACGCGTTGGTTTATAAATCTGCACTATTTATTTATGACCCAATCAGGTGTCTCTATTCGATAGAATTTAAAATGTTCAGCGTTTTCTATGGAGTGAGCAAGAGGCATTTAAAGAGAAGACCATTTGTTGTCCTAACGCATTGAACGTATCGCTCAGCTCATTGTCCTGTGAGATACATTTGCTGTGTCTGTACATGTTAAGATACATCACTTTTTTATATTTTCTAACTTTTAAATCCTCAAATCCCGCAGAATAGTAAAAGGGCTGTCTGCTTAATACACAGTATGGCAAAGTAAATGGAATTAAGTTTTCCTAACACTGCTGATACAAGACACTTTATAGAGTTTTTATCCTGGTTACAATGAACTCCGGCTAATGCTACAGATTGCAGAGAGAACACAGTGACCGGAAAATATTTCATTTAATGACATTTTTTTTTTTATTTTGCACAGCTTATGTTTCTACTGAAAAAATTACCCAGAAGATAAGGCATTTACAAAAAAATTCAAATGAAATACAAGGTAGACGTCTCTGACTTGGATGGAGATAAAGGAAAGGTTAATTTTGAAGAACATTTGAAAAGATTTTCTGAGCTTTGAAAGTAGGAATGAGGATTCCAAGAGTAAATCTCTAATAAATTATATTTTGCTCTCACAAAAACAAGGATTCTCTGGGATTTGAGTAAAATATTAAATACATGTGATTGGTATCTATTTTACTTGGCTAAACATAATTCATATGCATAGCATAATATATTCCCCTATATATAGTGTATCTGTCAGTAATGTGATATATTCCTCTATGTATAGTGTATCTGTCGGTAATGTGATATATTCCCCTATGTATAGTGTATCTGTCAGTAATGTGATATATTCCCCTATGTATAGTGTATCTGTCAGTAATGTGATATATTCCTCTATGTATAGTGTATCTGTCAGTAATGTGATATATTCCCCTATGTATAGTGTATCTGTCAGTAATGTGATATATTCCCCTATGTATAGTGTATCTGTCAGTAATGTGATATATTCCCCTATGTATAGTGTATCTGTCAGTAATGTGATATATTCCCCTATGTATAGTGTATCTGTCAGTAATGTGATATATTCCCCTATGTATAGTGTATCTGTCAGTAATGTGATATATTCCCCTATGTATAGTGTATCTGTCAGTAATGTGATATATTCCCCTATGTATAGTGTATCTGTCAGTAATGTGATATATTCCCCTATGTATAGTGTATCTGTCAGTAATGTGATATATTCCCCTATGTATAGTGTATCTGTCAGTAATGTGATATATTCCCCTATGTATAGTGTATCTGTCAGTAATGTGATATATTCCTCTATGTATAGTGTATCTGTCAGTAATGTGATATATTCCCCTATGTATAGTGTATCTGTCGGTAATGTGATATATTCCTCTATGTATAGTGTATCTGTCGGTAATGTGATATATTCCCCTATGTATAGTGTATCTGTCAGTAATGTGATATATTCCCCTATGTATAGTGTATCTGTCAATAAGTGTGATATATTCCCCTATGTATAGTGTATCTGTCGGTAATGTGATATATTCCCCTATGTATAGTGTATCTGTCAGTAATGTGATATATTCCCCTATGTATAGTGTATCTGTCAATAAGTGTGATATATTCCCCTATGTATAGTGTATCTGTCAGTAATGTGATATATTTCCCTATGTATAGTGTATCTGTCAGTAATGTGATATATTTCCCTATGTATAGTGTATCTGTCAGTAATGTGATATATTTCCCTATGTATAGTGTATCTGTCAGTAATGTGATATATTCCCCTATGTATAGTGTATCTGTCAATAAGTGTGATATATTCCCCTATGTATAGTGTATCTGTCAGTAATGTGATATATTCCCCTATGTATAGTGTATCTGTCAGTAATGTGATATATTCCCCTATGTATAGTGTATCTGTCAGTAATGTGATATATTCCCCTATGTATAGTGTATCTGTCAGTAATGTGATATATTCCCCTATGTATAGTGTATCTGTCAGTAATGTGATATATTCCCCTATGTATAGTGTATCTGTCAGTAATGTGATATATTCCTCTATGTATAGTGTATCTGTCAGTAATGTGATATATTCCCCTATGTATAGTGTATCTGTCAATGAGTGTGATATATTCCTCTATGTATAGTGTATCTGTCAATGAGTGTGATATATTCCTCTATGTATAGTGTATCTGTCAATGAGTGTGATATATTCCTCTATGTATAGTGTATCTATCAATAAGCGTGACATATTCCACTATGTGCTGGGGCGCCCACCGGGATATTTCCTGGTGGGCTCCCCCTGTCTTGGGCCGCAGCGCTGGGCGAGCGGCTCTTTAGCAGCCCTCCCTCAGCGCCAGGCCGCTCCTCATGGCGTCTGAAGGTGGAGCCCCCAGAGGAGCCCTGTCACAGGGAGCCCAGGAGGTGGCCATCTTGCCACCTTAGGGGGCCCCCTAAGTTGTCCTTCAGTATGGCAGAGCAGGCACCTGCTTACCTTAATGACAGGTACCTGCTCTGCCAACAAATGCTGGTGACCAGGAGAATGTAGGCGGCGAGGGAGGCTGTTCTTGCAGTCTCTCACTCCTCCCTCGCACACCCTCTGTGATGCCGGGAGCCGGAACATGACGTCATTCTGTCCTTGGTATACTAAAAAGCGGGCGGAAGGAGTGAGGAGCTGCCCCAAGCACTGGACCCCAGGGAGGTGATTGTTTGACTGTCAGTGAGTGAGTGTCTGTGAGTGTGTGTGCCTGTCTGTGAGTGTCTGTCTGTGTGTCTGTCAGTGAGTGTATGTCTGCCAGTGAGTGTCTGTGTGTGGATGTCAGTAAGTGAATATATGTCTGTCAGGGAGTGTGTGTGTGTGTGTGTCTGCCATTGAGTGAGTGTATGTCTGTCAGTGAGAGTGTGTGTGTGTTTCTGTCAGTGAGTGAGTATATGTCTGTCAGTGAGTGTCTGTGTATGTGTCAGTAAGTGTGTGTCTGTCAGTGTGTGTGTGTATGTCTATCAGTGAGTATCTGTGTGAGTGTATGTCTGTGTGTGTGTGTCCGTCAGTGAGTTTCTGTATGTGTGTGTCATTGAGTGAATGTATGTGTGTTAGCGTGTGTGTGTGTCTGTCAGTGAGTGTCTGTCAGTGAGTGAGTGACATAAGGGTGTGGCAAAATGGATCTTTGCCTAGGGCGGCAGAAATCCTTGCACCAGCCCTGCATACGTTAGCTGTTGGTCCGGCCATCACAGTCCAGACTTCTCTTAAAAGTCTGGACCCAGCGAGGAGTACAAAACGTCTTTCATGCACCTCAATGGTGATGAAGAGGACAATGCGGGGCTGTATCCCCATAATCCATGCCTCACCGCCAAGACCATGTCAGACGCTCTGAAAGGGGGCCAAACCTATGCCAAACTGTGTTATCGGAGGATCATTGCTCAGCAAGTCCTGAAGCATGTTTTGAGACGGCCTAGAGGACCTGTTCCTGATGATGGCTATGGCTGGAGGAACAATACAGGTTCGCTTCTGCACTCTGGTGGGGTGCCCATCCATGACCTCATGGACTTTAGTATCGATGTGACCGTGCGTTGCCAACCAACTACTGGCATCGACTGAGCAGTTAAAAAAGGAGACTGTAGGTTCTTCGCAGCTACACTTGTTTTGCTGATTAAATCTGTTCTAATCCCTAAAGCCTTAAATTAACTCTCATTACTACTGTTACCTACTATGTCTGCTCTCCCATGCCGCGTTATGTCTCTGCAGACCAGTGGTTACCGCCTCGTGTATTCTTTCTCTGTCCATCTCACACTCAATGTCTTATATTTTGCTTTAGTTTAGTTGAGTTGGACTAAGTCCTAACTAATATTATATTTTATAAATAGTGGAGTATTTTCCACATCTCATGAAACATCTTGTAACGTTTTGCACCATATATATTCTGGCTGAAAGGTCTTTACAAGCTTGTAACATCACTTTGTTCTAAAAAACAAAGATTGTAAAAAATATTTTTTTTTTCTGAATTGGATGAATTCTCACTCAGTTATAGTAACAGATTGGCTATTTTAGCCTCAATTTTGCCAAGCGCATTACAATTTGAAGTTTATTTAATTAACCCCTCACCGCATGGGGATAATTTGTACATTCCCTGAGTTTGCATTCATTCTATTTAGGTTTTTAATGTACTAGCATGATAACTAAGTCATGTTAGACTAAAGCCCCCGCATTGGATGCTGACACCCGCTCACTAACACAGTGAGCCCCCTACACCCTGGTTCTCCCGCCGTATATTGAGGTCATCTGACTTGACTTTTCTTTCGTTTGTCAAGTCCAGATTCATTGAGCTGGTTGGCTCTATCACTTACAAGCATTTCCTATTTATCTACGCAGTGACAGATGTCTCACTGCGGTGTACAGTCCATCCTTTCTGCGTACAGATGCAACTGGAGATATCATAAATCAATCAACTCTTTCAAAGTTCCAACAGCTCTGGAGATCCCATTATGGAGAAGAAATGCCATCTCTTAACTTCCTCCCAAGGTGATGTTATTGTGTCCATAACGATGGCCTCCGTGCGGAAAATGGCGTTCGCCGCCACAATTTATTAATCAAAGTTTCCTTGTTTTCAGACAAGTGTTGTTTACAGAGAGAGAGAGTATCCTTTCCCTAGCCTGCGGAGTGATGCCATTAACAGATGCCATCCAAACGAGTGGACATCAATCACCTTGGCTGGCAGTTTAATAAACAGCTGTTTTTAAAGGGGTGTCAGTCGCTGGCGCTGCCAACATATTGGGACGAGCAAGGCTGAACAATAAAAGTGTCTGCATCACAGGATCATCGTGAAACCATCAACGGAGGATCTAATCTTATAAAGACGCAAAAGAGATGATAGGCAGAGATAGATAGATAGATAGAGAGACAGATGTTAAAAAAAAACTACAATCACAATATATAGCATAGTTTGATACACTCAAATACAGAAGTGAGTGTATCCCGCTCCCACCATCTGGCTAGTAACGCACACTCAGTAGCATTGAGTGTATGCTGCTCCCACTGTCTGGCAGGTAAGGCACACTCAGTAGCAGTGAGTGTGAGTGTATGCTGCTCCCACTGTCTGGCAGGTAAGGCACACTCAGTAGCAGTGAGTGTGAGTGTATGCTGCTCCCACTGTCTGGCAGGTAAGGCACACTCAGTAGCAGTGAGTGTGAGTGTATGCTGCTCCCACTGTCTGGCAGGTAAGGCACACTCAGTAGCAGTGAGTGTGAGTGTATGCTGCTCCCACTGTCTGGCAGGTAAGGCACACTCAGTAGCAGTGAGTGTGAGTGTATGCTCCTCCCACCGTCTGGCAGGTAAGGCACACTCAGTAGCAGTGAGTGTGAGTGTATACTGCTCTTTCTGCCATTAATACGCAGAGGCTCACTATGCATGTCAGGACTCACTCGGTCAGTGTTAGTAAGCACTCAGGATAAGATGCACTCAGCGGATGGCAGATACATCTCGTGCTCCTAAAGACAATTCTCAGTCACTTTGTTAGAATTTCTCTCACAATGTCCTATAAATGGGCCACATTCACTGTAACCATTACTATTATTTCTGGCCCCCATTTATATATATATTTTATGAAGTATGGGAAGTTTGGGAAGCCTGTGGGCCACGGCGGACTGACCTGCTGTAACTTTTACCCTTTAACACCTACATGGGCGAATCTGTGGTGATTACATTGTAACACGATTTCCTTTGTACCTCCGAGGGATCTTCTAAAGCTTTATTATATTTTTACTTCAAAACTGTATAAGGAAAGCTTGCTGTAGGCAAGAACAGGAGGATATAGCCCCTCATGAAACATTTAAACAGATAAACAAAGATGAGGCGGCAGCTCTGGATTTATTCAATAACCAGAAATTGATGCATGAGGGGAGCAACAAATCCACGGGCAATGTCACTGGGTTACACAGGGCATGTGTGGTGTGTGTGTGTGTGTGTGTGTGCAGGTGTGTGTATGTCTAAAACTGTGTGTGTATGTGTAGATGTCTGTATGAACACATATGAGTATGCATTCATGTAGCTGTGTTAGTGTATATAATTTTGTTTATGTGTGTGTGTGTGTTTCCATGTGCGTATGTATATCTGTATGTAGGAGGGGTGCATGCATGTTTGCATATTTGTGTGTGTATCAGTAGATATCTGTGTGCAAGTGTGTGTAAGCACTTTGTAGATGTGTTAGAGGGTATAAGTGTATTTAGGTGTGTGCTTGATTGCAGTGGGTTTACAGAACTGCCCCCCCAATCTCTATCAGTAAGAGCAGGGGGTTTACAGAACTTCCCCCCCCCCCCAATCTCTATCAGTAAGAGCAGGGGGTTTACAGAACTGCCCCCCAATCTCTATCAGTAAGAGCAGGGGGTTTACAGAACTGCCCCCAATCTTTATCAGTAAGAGCAGGGGGTTTGGAGAGTTGACCCAGGTCTCATGTTCTCCTGTTTTCTGGAAACTGTTAAAGAATTATTTATTTGTGTTTAAGGTGAGCGTGAATGAAGTGGTTAATGAGATTTATTAAGAGCTGTGGAGATTACTGGACAGGAGGAAATTAGAGAGTGGGACAGCGAGGGTATGAGAGAGTGTGCAAAAGGCAGTTTTACTGGGCGAAGGGGGGGGTGGGCACTCAAAATGTCAGTCATTTGCTCTTTTCTCATTTTCGAAGCTTAAATGTTTCATTGTTAAGATTTATTATCTCTGATATAAAGGGAGCCGCGTCTTCATCTTCCCTGTTATTCGATGGACATTGAAAGGAAATGAAACGCGCTCTGCAGGAAGCGGAGATCACATGGAGTGCGGCGCCCTGGCTTATAGCATGGTGTGGGTGTCATGGAAAATGTTGATCTCTGATTCCCAAGATGAAAAAAAAACATTTCAAAGTGAGCATTTTCCTCTCATTGATGGCTTTCAATAGGAGAACGCGGAGCCTGAACTGTGAATTCTGCTGAAGAGAGAACAAATTAATGAGCATGCCCAACTTTTCCTTGGCAACCCTGGCTCTCAGCACTTGTGTTTTCACCGCTCTGTCCACAATTTGATTAACCAGTGTTTAATTTCAAAGTATGTGGGGAGAACAAAACGCAGACAATTTTCTGACACCTAAGCGGGGCTTGGCGATCAGGGTTGTGATACTTACCACCAGAAATAATGCAGGTGTTACAAAGTGTGCTGGACACTTTTCTTCCAGGGAACATGGACTTTATCTGTGAGGGAGTGGGGTGCCATCGTCTTCTGAAAGGGAAAGTGTTTCCTCTAACAGAATCAGCACAGGTGCTAAGGGGCTCTATATAATGCTGCTCCAACCTACCTATCCTCCCTAATACACAGTATGTCCCGTCTTGGCCTCTGCGCACTGCTGAAGACCAAGTCTATCTTCTGTCCGTATTCCTACCTCTGACCTCAAGACTTCTCAAGGGCTGTACCGTTCCTGTGGAACTCCCCTCCCTCCTCTGTTAGACTTTCACCCAGTCTCCATTACGTCAAAAAATCATTGAAAACTCACTTCTTCAGGAAAACATATCAATTAAACTGTTAACGGCTTTCCATTCCCACACCCCAATTCCTCTTCTGCAAAATAACCCACTAAGCCCTCAATGAATACTTTTCTACCCCATCTTCTACCTTTTGTATCACTATATCCCACTCCCTCTAGCATGAAGGGCTCACTAAGCAGGGCCCTCAACCCTGGTTCCTTTGCGTCCAACACGTCTGGTTACAAATACGTGTCTGTTAATCCACCCATTGTACAGAGCTGTACAATAATAAGTGGTCACGGTACCTTCAGTCTGTATGTGCAGTGTTTTGCTATGTAATGCTGCACAGCGTTTAACCCCTCGGCTCCAGGAGGTGCAACTCCACCACCGGGCACGTCATTTTGGAGTCATTAGAACTGTATGGTGGCTCAGAGGTAAAACAGCAGATCCAGGACTGCGAAGTACCCAGGTTCAAATCCATTATTGGGCACTTCTTGGGTGACCTCGTTTGGCAGTCTGGATGAGAACTATGACAGGACCCTCCCTTTAAGAATGCCCTCCGGGTGTGAACAGGCTCTTTGTTTCTATCATTTAAATACATAAAGGGAATCAACACAGTAAAGGAGGAGACTATATTTAAAAGAAGAAAAAATACCACAACAAGAGGATAAAGGTTAAATTAGAGGGACAAAGATTTAAAATTAATATCAGGAAGTATTGCTTTACTGAGAGGGTAGTGGGTGCATGGAATAGCCTTCCAACTGAAGTGGTAGAGGTTAACACAGTAAAGGAGTTTAAGCATGCGTGGGATAGGCATAAGGCTATCCTAACTATAAGATAAGGCCAGGGACTAATGAAAGTAGTTAGAAAATTGGGCAGACTAGATGGGCCGAATGGTTCTTATCTGCCGTCACATTCTATGTTTCTGTCATTAGCTAGCTCAGCTCAGGCTTGAGGTGAGAATTTGACTTCGGCAATGGGAAAAGGGTAAGTTTAAGCTTCTTTGTTTAGTTTTTTGTTTGGAGGGGCAGAGCACCACAGAAAAGGTTACTCTAAGCAATATCAATGTTTTTGGTTGTAGTAACCCTGTAACATGAAGGCAACCATTCTCTG